TGTGCAGCACATTTTATGGAGGACGAGGACTGTTTCCTGAACCTGAAGACTAGCCTACAATGCCGGTGTTTGTTTCTATAAAGTGGGGCAATTCCAACTTTGCAAGGACAGTCTGGTGCTTCTGACTCACAGCCTGTAAGTACGTTTTCATATTTAAAGAATTTGCCACTGATGATTCAAACGCGAGTTTTGGGCAGTGTAGAGTAGCGCTTGTTGTTTGTCGTTTCTCCGCTCACAAATGCAGACATGGTTTTATGTTTACGCGGTGCGATACGAAACGCAACGCGTAAAAAGACAGAATAAGTCATTATAATCAGTAATTATGTCCCCACTGGATGCAACAAATGCCTCGTTTATAATGGGTTTTATTGATTTTATCTCGTCGCGCCGGGACAGATCACAGTATGGTAAGGGACGTAACATTTCCGTCACACGCTTGAGGTATTCGGCCAATCACAACGCACTGGATAGCTGGCCAATCAGTGCACACCTCGCTTTTCAGACCGATGAGCTTTGTAAAAATCGACACGTTTCAGAAAGGCGGGGCATAGAGGAGAAACAATAATGTACATTATGTGGAAAATAATGTGTTTTTTTAACCTTAAACCGCATAAACACATTGCATTACACCAAATACACAAAATAATGTTTGTTTTAGCAACGTCATATGACCCCCTTAAAATATAGTTCAGGAGAGGTATTAAGTAGGCTGTTCTTCCTGTGTGTGTCTGCACGCACACAAAAAAACCCATTATGTTGTTTGCTAACATTCTTGTCCTAATCCATTCTCATTCACAGCACTTGTTTGTACTCAAGTGGGTAAAATGCTGAAAGGCCTGTAATAAAAAAAAGCCCTGCCGTGACAGAGAATCTGTGGAGAGATTCTGGGTTTTTTCATTCCCTCTCTTCCTGTCAGTGGTTACTCTTTACTCGAAACCATACCTCTAAACACCTTACTTTGAGCTATAATGGCTGAACTTGGCCAAAGAACACAAAGACAGCATGTGGAGAAACAATATAGGCTCATCCTGGCCCTATCCGCAGCTGTGACTGTTTAGGCCCTGAGGACTGTGCCATGGCTCTGAGTCAGCACACCTCAATACTCAGCACAGACACACCCTTCACTCGCCCGCTCGCTCTGACTGCTGACTGACAGGGCAACAGTCTTTCGTTCCTATTGCTCTAGACCTTTAGGTAAAACTGTGTAAACAGACACTGCCATTGTTCATCTTGGCCTATATTCTTCAAACGCATAGGAAGCAGACGTTGGGTTATTTATAGTTCACTACGACAGTTGAAGTATGTCATGCTCAAAGGCCATGCAGCTGATTTGGTTTCCCCGACTTGGCCATCAGTCTGCTCTAAACTGACAGAAGCTTATATATGGCCCATAACAAAACACTAAATATCTAGCACACACCTTGTCTAAAAAAATTTTATATAAATTATTATAACTTTAATATACATCTATCTATCTATCGAAAGAAATACATTTTATAAAATATTAAAAATAAATTTTAAGCAAGGATGCATTAAATTGATTAAAAGTGACAGTAGTCATAGTAGTCATGTTACAAGATTTATATTTCAAATAAATTCAAATAAATTAAACAACATTCAACATTCAACATTGCTAATAATAGGAAATGGTTCTTGCAAATCAGCATGAATCAGAATTATTTCTAAAGGATCATGTGAAAATGAAGACTGGAGTAATGATGCTGAAAATTCAGCTTTGCCATCACAGTAATAAATCACATACATTATATTTGAATAGAAAACTGTTATTTTACATTGCTACATTATTACAGTTTTTACTGTATTTCTAATCAAATAAATGCAGCCTTGGTGAGCATAAGAAACATCTTTCAAAAATATTTGTAAAAATCATACCGATTCCAAGCTTTTGAACAATAGTTTATATAATACATTTATGTGTATTAATACAATACAACAGCTTTGTATCAGTCGCATCTTGTGTGCTTTATTTACCACAAATGCAGTAAATTAAGCTGAATAAAAAAACACATCTTTCAGTAAGATGGTGTGCAATGACTGCTGGGTAAAGATACTGTATGTCATGTGCACTTGTTCCCTATGCCCTACACATATATATGCTCCCTGTGATTTGGAATCTCACTAAAGATGCCTCATGACTTTGGAAGGTACAAAGGGCTTTTCCCCCATCGACATTATACTCATGTCATAATTCCAAGATTTTTTTTATTTGTATTATTGTTTTGTTTTCAAATAGTTTGGCATCTTATGATTGATCACTTGTAGTAGCAATGCTGTTTTTTGTGTTTTTAATTTTAGGAAATAAATTAATATCGGAGTGACCTCAAATCCTGTGGCTGGGTACTTCAAGCAAGCTTGTTTACACTCTGTTTGTGACATTGACAGAGAAACTCTTTACCATTTAACTTTCCTTCAAATCTAAAACAACACAAACTGTCACAGTAATGAATCAATGTAGCCAAAACAAAAAAAATGTTCCTGTAGGTGTCATTCCTTTCCACCTGTTGTTTATGGTTTTGTGGAGTTTTTTTTTTTTCATTGGAGGTGGAGATTGTTTGCTATTGCCTTTGTTTTTTAAATACACATAAATTGGTCTTAACCAAACTCATCTGAAGCTCTGAAAACAAACTTGAAGAACTAGAATATTTTTTGTGCACATTTGTATGTACCATGTACACCTTTTCATTCAAATGTATATGTTTTAGACTTTTGCGCACAAGACTACAGATTCAAATCCTGAATCAAACCCTAAAATGGTTAATATTCTTAGCTTCATTTGCTTTGTGTGTTCGAAATCACACAATCACAAACTTCTGAACATGTATATTTCATCACATTTATATAAAAGTACAAAAGAACTCCACTTTTCAAGTATCCTCAATAACATATTGTTTGTGAGGTAAGTCTGTGGAACATCAGTGACAAGCTCAGGCATATGTGCATTATTTTCATAATATGACTCAGACACAAAGATGATTTAAGATGTTAC